GCTGCGGCCTCCTGACGCACCCCACGCACAGCCGCTGCAGCCTCCTGACACTCTCCACGCACAGCCGCTGCGACCTCCTGACACTCTCCACACACAGCTGCTGCGGCCTCCTGACACACCCCACGCACAGCCGCTGCGGCCTCCTGACACACCCCACGCACAGCCGCTGCGACCTCCTGACGCACCCCACGCACAGCCGCTGCGACCTCCTGACGCACCCCACGCACAGCCCGCTGTCCGTGCTCGGCTGACCATGCTGGACCATGTGCTTCCATGCTGACACTCCGTTTTGCAGGGCCTCCTTGTTTTTTGTTGTTTTGTTTTTGTCAGTCATGGGGCTTGAACTCTGGGCCTGGGCGCTGTCCCTCAGCTCTTCAAGTCAAGGCGAGTGCTCTACCACTTGAGCCACAGCACCACTTCCAGTTTTTTCATGGTTTATTGGAGATGAGAGTCTCACAGACTTTCTTGCCCGGGCTGGCTTTGAACCATGATTCTCAGATCTCAGCCTCCCGAGTAGCTAGGATTACAGGTGTGAGCCACCTGCCCTCCTTGTTTTCTTGTTGTTTGTGGTCTAGGCCAGGACTTGAGGCCTGTGCCCCTGATGCTCTCGCTCGCTGTAGCCCTCCACCCCTGAGCCGCGCCCCCAACCCCTCCGCTTGCGCTTGCGTCTGTAGACCCTTCAAGCACTGTCTTTGGGTGAGGTCTGGGAGGTGAGGAGGGGGGTGGCAAAGGCGGGGTCAGCTCATTGGTTGATGACTGTTCTTGATGAGTTAATAATAAAGGGGTGAAAAAGCAGCTCTGGAAAGCACTTGTGGACCTTCCCTCCCTCCCTCCTTCCCTCCTCAGCCCCTACCCCCCAGGCCCCACCCCAGAGTGCCAGGGAATCTGGGAAAGTCAGGACATTTTTCCTGGATGGAAAACAGCTGAACTCCCTCCCCGTAACAGCCCATTTTCTAGACTTACTTTTCTTGTGCTGGGATTTGAACTTCGCACCTCATACTTGGTCAGCTGGTGTTTACCACTTGAGCCCACTTCCAGCCCTACTTTTACTATTTTGGAGATATAATCTGGCAAGCTTTCTGCACAGGCTGGCCTTGAACCACCTATTACCACGCAGCTCATTTTCTAGAATTTTCAAGGTCTAGCACTTGGTGTAATTACACTGCTCAGTAATGTTCACGCATCCCACAGAGAGCCCAGTCCTGAAGTACCAGACAAATGGGGTGCAGGTTTCAATCGTGTATCACCCCACAAAGGTGGTTAGGACTGAAGACGTCTGTCATAGCCTGCCGCCGCCTCATGTAGTACTCTGAAAATGAATCAGGTTCCTGTGAAGACGGGAGGGAAAGGAGGTGGCTTTGGCAGGCCAGGTTTACAGAATATAAAATGCAGGTACAAGGTGTCAGGAGGAGGGCATTCTCCCTCGGGGGAATCGGGGTTTGTTCGAGGTGCGCTGTGGGAAGGTTACCTGGTGGTAGGTGGTAGAAGGCAGGAACCTGGCCGGCACGCAGGCTGGCTGAGCAGGCGGGTGGGCAGGCTGGCTGAGCAGGCTGGCTGTGCAGGTGGGTGGGCAGGCTGGCTGAACAGGCTGGCTGTGCAGGCGGGTGGGCAGGCTGGCTGAGCAGGCTGGCTAAGCAGGCGGGTGGGCAGGCTGGCTGAGCAGGCTGGCTAAGCAGGCGGGTGGGCAGGCTGGCTGTGCAGGCTGGCTGTGCAGGCGGGTGGGCAGGCGGGTGGGCAGGCTGGCTGAGCAGGCTGGCTGTGCAGGCGGGTGGGCAGGCGGGTGGGCAGGCTGGCTGAGCAGGCTGGCTGAGCAGGCTGGCTGAGCAGGCGGGTGAGCAGGCTGGCTGAGCAGGCGGGTGGGCAGCCGGGGCAGAGCTGGGGACGGGCAGTGGGGAGCTGGCCTGTGGGGAGCTGACCGGGCCTCTGCCTCCCCAGCCTCTCCCATGGGACACGGCACGAGCCGGCTCTACAGCGCTCTCGCCAAGACGCTGACCAGCGGCGCTGCCGCCCCGCACCCCGAGTACCTGCTGTCCCCTGACCCTGAGCACCTGGAGCCCATCGATCCCAAGGAGCTTCTGGAGGAATGCCGCGCCGTCCTGCACACCCGGCCTCCCCGGTTCCAGCGGGACTTCGTGAGCGTGAGCAGCGTGAGCAGCGAGTGCCCCAGCAGCCACCCGCCCATCAGGGTCATGCAGTGGAACATCCTCGCCCAAGGTACGCGGCCCTGGGGACAGGGGACAGGGGAGGGCAGCCGGGCATGGACAGCCGGGCGGCCTGCGGGGTGGGCAGCTCAGAGGATCGGCCTTCCACCTCCAGCTGCCAGCCCCGGCACGCGGCCCAAGGCACATTTTCAAGGGAGGTGGGGGCCTGTTTTGAGGCTAGACCTCTGCGGATCCATGTGCACACGCTGCTGCTGCGCTATTCTGTCCACCACAGCACTGTCAGATTTAAACACCATGCGCCCGTCTGTGGCGCTGCTTCGAGGAGCAGTTGAAATTTTAGGAAAAAATTTAAAAAGCAAGGACCTATTTTATGTGTTCATGTGTCAGTTTCCTGGGACAGGAGGGAACATGCCAACTTGCTGATCTCTTCCATGCTTCCAGGCAGGTGTGTGTGCATTAAGTAGGAAAGGCTGCCCGTGTATCCTGAGCAGGGTCTAGTTACGTCGTCCATTCCCACACATTTAGCTGACACAGTCTTCCAGCACACGAATAGTTGTAACATAAAGGAGGCTCGTCCCTGAGCCCACGCAGGTCGTGGATCTGCCCCGGCTGACGGCTGACCGGCTTTTTCTTTTCAGCCCTTGGAGAAGGCAAGGACAACTTCGTGCAGTGTCCGGCGGAGGCTCTCAGGTGGGAAGAAAGGAAGTGTCTTATTCTGGAGGAGATCCTGGCCTACCAGCCCGACATCCTGTGTCTGCAAGAGGTGGACCACTACTTTGACACCTTCCAGCCGCTGCTCAGCCGTCTGGGCTACCAGTGCACCTTTCTCCCCAAGCCCTGGTCGCCCTGTCTGGATGTGGAGCACAACAATGGGCCTGATGGCTGTGCCTTGTTCTTCCTCCAGAACCGGTTCAAGCTCATCAACAGTGCCAACATTAGGCTGACAGCCATGACACTGAAAACCAACCAGGTGGCCATCGCGCAGACGCTGGAGTGCAGGGAGTCTGGGCGGCAGCTGTGCGTGGCGGTCACGCACTTGAAAGCACGCACCGGCTGGGAGCGGTTCCGGTCGGCTCAGGGCTGTGACCTTCTCCAGAACCTGCAGAGCATCACGCAGGGGGCCAGGACCCCCCTCATCGTGTGCGGGGACTTCAACGCGGAGCCCACCGAGGAGGTCTACAGGCACTTCGCTTCCTCCAGCCTCAACCTGAGCAGCGCCTATAAGCTGCTCAGCGCCGACGGGCAGTCGGAGCCGCCGTACACCACCTGGAAGATCCGGACTTCGGGGGAGTGCCGCCACACCCTGGACTACATCTGGTACTCCCAGCACGCGCTCAGCGTGCGCTCCGCTCTGGACTTGCTCACCGAGGAACAGATCGGACCCAACCGGCTCCCGTCCTTCAATTACCCCTCAGACCACCTGTCCCTCGTGTGTGACTTCAGCTTTAAGGAGCCGCCTCATGGACTTCTGTAAACGGGCTGCGCACCGTTTTAACCACTCCAGTCTTTAACTGGGGTGTTGCGGGGAACCAGACAAGAAGGGGCCGGGGAGGGGTCCACCAGGCCTTTGGAGAAGACTCGGCACTCCGCCGGGCTGCCTCCCCTTCCCTTCCCTCACCTTCTCAGGCAGTGGCTGGAGGGCATTCGGGCCCATTGTGAAGCCTTTTCAGTTTGAGGATGCTGTGAAACTCAAAAGTTGCTTGAGTCCTTCATAATTAACAATGAGTATGCAGGAACAAGTTCGAGAGAGAGCGTTTCCATTATTTATTCATTTTCTTGATGTCAATAAGATATGCATGGCAATATTTATTTTTTTATATCTTCTTGTAAAACTTAAGTAAATCAGAGCATTGTGCAAAAACGTAAGACACAGACACAGTGATTTTCTTAAATCTCGGCGATGCTGTCATTTGCTGGTGTAACAGTGTCCGCAGCCCTGTCCATGAGAGCAGGCTCGGCTCCCCGATCACACACAGCCCTGGTACCTACACAGTTTCAGATTGTTTCTTAAACAGATTCCAGTTCTCCATTATTTAGTGACTGCTATGTATTTATACTTCATTAGGCTAATTTTGGTGTACATCTGTCAACTACTTGACCCCCCTATTTGTATATGGCTTCTTTCACAGTAGGGGCTGTTGACCACTTACGGCAGTGCCTAAGAAAGCGGTAAGAGACTACAGATGAAGCCTCTTCTAGACAAAGCCTACTGGCGATTCACTGTAAATAGTGAAGAGGAATAAATACGTCTTCTAAAGCTAGTGCTCCGAATGGCTTGGGTTTGGGGTTTTTTCTAATGGCACCAGGTTGGAAACATTCTCGGATGATGATTTCCTCCCCTTGCCTGACACCAAGACAAACGTGCTGCTCCTGAGCATTTGGAAACTTACAGGACTACCTCAGTCATCTGATCCTTCTCTTTGTCAAGACACTCGAAACCAAAGCTTATTAATTATTGTGAAACATTACAGCATATTCTGTGCATAAATTTACTAGATGGTAACCTATCTTTTATCTTTGCCTACATGTTTTAGACTGCAACACAAATCCTAAGGGACTCGTAATGTGGCTGCCATCTGATTCTGGTTCCCATCAATTGGTAAACCTTACAAAGCACCCAGTCAGTTGTCCATCATTTTAAAATTGCATTTGTGAGAGCGTAAGGACCGCCGCACGGCAGAGTAGGCTGCCTGGGACATTAGCCTTCACAGACCGCCCCTACCTTTGCTGGGAGGGAAGGCGGAAGGGGCATGGTCTAAAACTAATCTGGGAGCCAGAAGATTAATTCAACTTGTAGGTCGGGTCTTCAGACAACAGCGAGCTGAACTGAGTGCAGTTACTCTAAAACTGAAACCCTAATTCTGTTTCTTAAATAGGACTTAAACTTCAAACTCATTGCTGCACTGCTGATAGATGATAGTCTTTTTTCCATTAACAGTAAAACTATTTTTAATAGTTTGGGAACTATCTTGATCCTCCCAAAACAAGGGTTGACTTCATTATAGCCCTACCATTTTGAACCAAGTATGGCTTTTTCTAGGTTATTCAACTAATGTGGCTCTATTTTAAATGGCAGTCTTTGTAATAGGAAATTGGTCTCTGTTAAATGTATTTTCAATTTAAATTCTGCTCTCTAACCATCAGCATGCTCCTGTGACTAGCAGCACTGCTGGCATTGGGATCTTGCTTTCTGAAGCAGTGTCTTTGAAGGGGCAAGTCTCGCTGTGCTGTGCCTCGAGCCACCGGGTTCCCAGAGATGGTGGAGGAGCACAGGAGCAAGTGCCAAAGTACACAGGATGAGGTTTGGGGTCTCTCAGACAGTCTCAAGATTTGCCCAAACTGACCTGTCTCCACAGTCCTGGTACCCGTGAGAGGTTTGGGGTTTTTTGCTTTGTTTTGAGAGGAGAGGGTCCTGAGGATTGAATTCAGCCTCATGATTGCTAGACGGGTATTTTACCACTGGAGCCACTGTACCAGTAGGCATGGCCATTTGCAATACTTAATTATCTCAGAATACACTTTCCCGATGAACATTTCACAAACACGCAAGTTCAGATACAAGGCTCTCCTGTGGCTTCGTGGCGGTGGTTCTCAACACCGCTGTTCAGTAGCGCTGCGGATGTCTGATCCCTGCCCCAGACATTGTAATTTGAGCAGAGCGAGTGACTGGGGACGCCAGTGACACTGATGCAGGGCAGTTCGTTCCTCATGGCCTAGAACTCACACCATCTGCCTGTTGTGTGCTCTTGGGACAATGATGGGATGCGTTCATTAAAATGATGTTGATAAAGCCAATTTTCTCTAAGTTAAACATGCTGTAGTAGGGAACAGAATCTCAGAAGGTAACTTTGCTGTCAGGTTTCAGACTACTAAGCAGCAGCAGTCAGGTTTTTTTTTTTCCTTTGGTCAGCCATGGGGGCTTGAACTCAGGGTCTGGGCACTGTCCCTGAGCCTCTTTGTGTTCAAGGGTAGCACTCTACCACTGTGAGCCACAGCACCACCTCGAGTAATTAAATGGTGATGGGTTTCACGGGGCCTGTGTGCTGTCCCTCAGCTCTTAAGCTCAAGGCAAGCGTCTGTCACTTGAGCCACAGCACCACTTCCAGTTTTCTGGTGATTTACAGGAGATAAGAGTCTCACAGACTTTCCTGCCTAGACAGGCTTTGAACCACGATCCTCAGATCTCAGCCTCCTGAGTAACTAGGATGACAGGTATGAACCACCAGGCCCAGCCTGGGCTGGCTGCGTCCAGAAAGACTGCACTTGAATGTTTGGAAAGGTAGCCAGCAGTGATCATCTGTTTACTGCTGTACTTGAGCCTTTCAAAGGCCTGCACTCTCAACACAGGAGCAAATCCAATGTACTGACTCTTGCACAGGGCAGACAATCTCACCTCACCATTGGGGCTGCCTTCACGGTGCCCTCAGTCCCTACAGCCTAGAATCGATTTTAATTTGGGGGGACAGAGTATATAAAGTACATGAGTCCTGATTCCAGAGGACTTGCAGTTCTGTGAACAGAAAAGCTGTTAGGTGCAGGGAAAGAGAAGCTGCTTTGATAACTAGTTCCACTTGCGGTGTGCAGTGCCGAGAGAGGACAAGAGACTAAAACGCAAGGGTTGTGGCACGCTTTGTAAGCAACCCCAGAGGCAAGATTTTGTCTAGAAAGTTGACCTGATCATTAACCTGGCTTGTTTCTAGCCATCAGAAATGTGTGTCCCTCCCAAGTGCAGTAGGCAGTGGGGTTAGTCCCTAGCAGGGGACCAGGTCTTCAATACTCATCACTTATCCCGCTACCACCAGTGCACTCCCTCTCACATGGCAATCAGTAATCTATCTCATAGGATTGTGGGAGCATGGCCACATGTCCGTGCTTGTTCCCTACCAATAGTGCTGCTCTGGTGGACTCTGCTTTCTCTTCCCCAGTGTCTGTGTACTTACTCCTTCCAGTCTTCATATTCAGAGTTCACTCCACTCCGAGTGGTTTTGAAGCCCATCTCAGGAACTTGTTTCAATGTCTCAATACATTGAAATGGAACTCATATCTAGACGGAGGAAAGAGGCGTCCGCAAGAGGCTGTCAATGGAATGGCATAATGAGGAATGGGTACCTGGAATAGTGGGGAAAATTACCTACTACCTTATGTCTGAAGCCCAGAAATGTCTGGAAGAGAAAATAACTTCAGAGTGATGCGCACAGTCCAGGATTTGTATGCTGCAGCCTTGTCTTCATCAAAATGCCACTGCATTTGAAGTGGCCACAGTGCTGTGGTAGAGTTTGTGGTTTAGAAAGCTCACGGTACAAAAGATACATTGGCAGCAGGCATTGTGAGAACCGTAGGGCAGGGAGGAGGGAGGCCTACAGAAGACACAACTGACGGGACTTGCTGGCGAAGAGAGAAGCCCCATCCCTCACCCCAGGTGTCCTCCTGCAGCCCTTAGACTGTTGAGCTTAGATCAACAGATTTTGGAGGGAAAAGTCTAATTGGACACAGTAGTTAACAGTAGGTTAGCAGTTAGATAAACCTATCTAAGACTGGAGAGTCAAAATCTAGCCTGGAATACCAATAGATTTGGTAGTAAAAACTGTATGTATAGCAAAAACTATACATTAAAATGCAATCATCTTGGTGTTTGTGCCAGGCATGTGTCCCTAATCCCTAACCATAGTCTGTCTGCATCTGTGCCTGTGTGCTGGGTAAGTTTCAGCTCTGGGCCTTGAGCTTTTGCTAAGCTTTTTTTTGTCGGTCGTGGGGCTTGAGCACTGTCCCTACGCGCATCACCTCAAGGCGAGCGCTCTACCACTTGAGCCACAGCGCCACTTCCAGTTTTCTAGTGGTTTATTGGAGATAAAGAGTCTCACGGACTTTCCTGCCTGGGCTGGCTTTGAACTGTGATCCTCAGATCTCAGCCTCCTGAGTAGCTAGGATTACAGGTGTGAGCCACCAGCTTTCTTGCACCTGGCTAGCATTCTACTGCTTGAGCCATACCTCTAGTACAGCACTTTGCTGGCTACCGAGTCTCATAGACTTCCTCCAACGTCTCAGCCTCCTAAGTAGCTAGGATGTGACTACAGGAATGAGTTCTAGTGCCCAGCTTACTCCTTTAGTTCTTACAACTCCAATGAAATAAGCCTCATAGACAAAAACCTTTCTTAGGAAACCAAAAAACAGTAGATGAGTTACTTAGGCATAAAGTAAAGCAAAGAAGGGTATCATGGACAATCAAATGAATTTTTAAAAGTAGAGTGAAGATCATACGAAAACAATGGAACTGTTTTACAATGGAAACAAAGCCAAGGCCCTGAATTCTACATACAATACACCCCCCACCCATGTGTCTCAAGTGGTAGAGTGCTTGACTTCATGCATGACACCCTGGGTTCAATTCCTCAGCACCACATAAGCAGAAAACACCGGAAGTGGTGCTGTGGCTCAAGTGGTAGAGCTCTAGCCTTGAGCTGAAGAGCTGAGGGACAGCGCCCAGGCCCAGAGTTCAGGCCCCACAACCAACCAAAAAAAAAAAAAAAAACAGTTGCCCAGCAAATGGGCAGACTGGTCCTAAAGACCTAATGAGGCAGGAAAAAGCAGCGCTTTAAGCCGTGTTCACGCGGCTTTTCTCCAATATGTTAGAGTGATGATAGTTTGGAGGGGCTGAGTACTAATCAGGGAGGGCACACACTGAGACATTAGCCGTCATCAGTACATACTGTCAACATGTATGCTGCCAAATGTAGGCTTTAAATGTACTTGTTCTTTTAGAGCAAGAATACAACATAGAAAAGGATTTACTTAAATGTTAATTTTTTTATTTTGAAAAAATCTGATTTTCTGAATCAAAAAGAAGTCTACCAGAGTTAAATTTTGAATATTTTGTTTTCCACTGATCTTTCTAGATACAGTGCTCAGAACTGTGCAGTTAGCATCCAATACCACATTTTCTAAGAACTCCTTCATGGCATTGGTGATTCTGATTTAAACCAAAGAATTTAATCATCACAGAAAATCTAAGCAACAATGGGTTTCAAGAGTTAAAAACCAGATCTCTTTTAAAAAGATTTTTTTTTAATTTCTGGGTGACTCCTGTGTGACAATTCCAACTGAATACAATACCTCCCAAATCCTAGACACATTATTTCACCTTTGATTAAAATTTAAATTTATCTATAGCTGTCTTCTACATATAGAGTCTTAGCAAGTATTAAAAAAATCTACAAGTGCCTGTCTTTGCTTAAGAAGTATGGTCTAACAATCTTTGGGGCTAGGAATGAGGCTTAGTGATAGACTGCTTGCCTGGTATGCATGAAGTTCTGGGTTCCATGCCTCAGCACCAGAGAAACAAAAAGCCGGAAGTGGCACTGTGGCTCAAGTGATAGTGTGGTAGCCTTAAGCAAAAGCTCAGGGGCAGTGCCCACGCCCTGAGGTCAAGCCCCAGGTCTGGCCAAAAAAAAAGTCTTTACCCTAAAGGAATATTGGAAAAGACAAGACTAAAACAAAACCAATTTTGAAAGCTGGGAGATTTATTTAGGAAATGTTTCTAAAAGGTGATGGAATAAGATTAACGCCCAAATGGGACAAAAATCAGTGAGTTTTCTTGAGGTACTTATTTTTAAAATACCATGAAGCATGTTTATGGAAAAATAAACGATTAGAAATGCAACTTTTGTAAAAAGTATTTGTCAACCTAAGTAGAATATTAAATGCACACTTACAGCCCCCAAACAATAACAGTTCATCCAAATTTCTAATAAATAGACTTCTCTTTAGAGCAAAAACCCATTAAAATTTAGAATGCTGACATAATTGGAAGTATGACATTAGGTAATGCCATGTAACACTTCTGATACTTTTTCTTAATCTGTAAAAGGTCTAGAATATTCTTTTTACCCTGAAAGGTCTGATTGGGGGCGGGGGAGGGGAGGAGGGGAGGTCTCATCTGAAAGGTTTTTGTTTTTGTCTGTGCTATGATTCAAACTCAGGGTCTTGTGCAATGTGAGGTATGTGCTGCTCTGCTAAACTGCTCTGAGTTCACACTCTTCAAATGTGACCAACTAAAATAAACTCATTTTGGTAGGGAGACCATTATAGTTAATAAAAAGTAGAAGAAAACAGCAACATGCAGATATCAGTCAATGTTAATAAAATGGAAGAATAGGATATGTAACTAAAGCAGCGTTCTCTATTTTGGCTTTGGAATATTGCTAAAAATGTCACCAGACAGAGCACTAGCCTCAGGGACAGCACGCTGGCCCTGAGTTCAAGCCCCAGACTGCAGACACACACACACCATACACACACACACACACAGAAATCACCAGAGTTCAAGCCCCAGACTGCAGACACACACACACCACACACACACACCACACACACACACACAGAAATCACCAGAGACCAAAACTCAAGATAAATTTCATATCTATATTTCAGAAAACCTACTTGAATACACTTTGAAACAAGAGTACAACAAAATAGAATATACTTCAAATGTTGAATATACAAACTATTATAGTTCAAATCTGAACACTGGTACTTTCCCTCTTAAACATCAACTAAAAAAGAAAGAAAGGAGGAGGAAGGAAAGGCAGAAAAAAGAATGAGAAAGAAAACAAACACCAGGTATTAGGACTACCTGACCAAAATTCATGCTGAGCCTGAACTTCCAAGGGACCGAAGACCTGAAACTGACAGCGTGGCCGGGGCTGAGGAGGGACACAGCCAGGTTACAGCAAAGGCCAGAGCCAACTGTTAATTTGTCCACAATTAAGAAACTGACAGAATTAAACTACCATATAAAATGTTACATGTAAATTCTATAACAATACTGTGCTAGGTACAAGATTTTTAAAATTTTTCTTTTAATAAAAAAGCTTTACACAAACAAGCCATTAGCTTATTTCAAGGAAAAAAAACAAAAATTAGTCTAAGGCCTTTGTTTTAAATCAGCTTAAGCTATATGATATATATATATGTATAGATATATATATATATATATATATATAAATCGCACTAGATCTTTTTTGCTATCCTCTTTCTTAAGCTTTTGGATCCATTCTTCGATTCACATTCTATAATACCTATTATTAAGCAGAGTCTTCACATAGCACCAGTTAAGTGAGTACTGTGCGAACACAGTAATAAATGCTGGTATGCATATGAAATGCATCAAGAATTGCTCTATGTAACAAGATCACCCATCCCAACCCCTCCCACTGAAAACCATACAACCTCTTACAGATGTTAGTGTTCCAAGTCTTAGTGTAACTGGACAGTGTAGTGAGCTGCTTGGTCCCTTTCAGTCCTTTTTCTTATTGGCGGGTTCAGTTGTTTCCTACTGTAAGAGGCAGTTTTCTGTCAGCATCTTAATTCCCCACTGAAACATGGGACAGGGAATTTACTTCCAGGAAGTCTGATTGTTTCTCATACATATTAAAAATGTTTTAAAGTCTTCCCTTGACTTCTTGACGCCCGCCCTGGCCACTGTTCGCGTCCGTGCTAGCACTGACATCACACCCCGAGGCCAGCGGCCCTCATTTCTCACACGTCACCAGTCCTTCAGTTTTCATCGTCACAGGAAGGGCGATGGCGGAGGGCGTACTGACCACCACTACATGCGTCACTGTCTTATTTCCATCCGCTGGTTTTTCTTCTACCAACTGCAAAGTTTTCACATCATGTTCTTGCTTTTTCGCCCCTGCTTCCGATTTAACCTCTGGCCCTTTTATGACAGCACTGATCACTCGAGGAGGAGTCTGGCCGGAAGCCTGTTGTGCAGGCACTGAGAGTCGCATGACAGGCGTGCCGTGGGCTATTGAAACGGGGGTCAGGGCTCTCACGGCCAGGGGGGTTCCGACAATGTTAATGCTCCCTGAGCCAGTCAGATTTGACTTTGTCTGTAGTTGACACTGTGCAAGTTGTGTAGCTGGGATGGTGATGATTTTGGCAGGCTGCATGGTGATTTTATCTCCACTTTCAGCAGAGGTTGGCATCACGGCAGGGATTGTCTGAATGACTACCTTGGAAGGGGCTGATTGTGTAGGACTAGTGCTGGTTATTAATGGTGCGCCTGCATTCACAGACTGAACTGCTACCGTTGAAATCTTCTGACCCAGTGACGTCATTACAACAGGTACTTGCATTGCCACACGAACTGTCCTAGTAGATGAAAAAGGAAAAAAGTTCATTACATATAATGCTGAATTAGAATTTCTCTTGTGCAAAAAAAGACCCAATAAAAACTCTAAAATGGAGCCAGGCACCAGTGGCTCAGAGCTTGTAATCCTAGCTATGACAATTGAAGTTCAAAGCCACCCTGGGCAGGAAAGTTCATAAGACTCTTCTCTCCAATGAGATAAACTAAAAGTGAGCTGTGCCTCAAAGGGGAGAGCATTAGCCTTGAGCAAAAAAGCTCCAAGACTGCACCCAGGCCCTGAGTTCAAGCCCTACAACTGACCAAACCCAAAATAATAATAGTAGTAGTAATAATAATAATATGGGCTGGGAAGGTGGCTCAGTGGTAGAGAGCTTGCCTTGCATGCATGAGGCCCTGGGTTCACTTCCTCAGCACCACATAAGCAGAAAAAAAAAAAAAAAAAGCTGGAAGTGGCGCTCTGGCTCAAGTGGTACAGCGCTAGCCTTGAGCTGAAGAGCTGAGGGACAGCGCCCAGGCCCAGAGTTTAGGCTCCATGACCAGACCAAAATAATAATAATAACCTAAAATGCATAAAACTAGTGCTCACAAACTTGTATAGATGTACGAATAACGACTGAAACTTACAATATAAAATACCATGAAGCAAACATTGAAAACCTCACATTAAGTTGGGTCCTGATGGCTCACACCTGTAATCCTAACGACTCAGGAGACCGAAATCCAACAATCGTGATTGGAAGTCAGCCTGGGCAGAAAATTACCTAAAACTCTTATCTCCAATTAACCAGTAGCAAGCAGGAAGTTCAGGTGTAGCTCAAGTGGCAGAATGACAGCCTTGAGCAAAAAAGCCAAATCAGAGTTTGAACCCCAGTACCAGCACATACAAAACACATTGAATTCAACCTTTAAAAACATAAAAACCAAATTCAGCTTAGTCATAACATCTACTTCAACAGCACAATATACATTGAAAAGATCAAGCACTTTTCCAAGTCCTGACAATGGTGGATTCTTAAAATGTGTGTATTTAGGGGGGGGAAAAAACATTTCAGCTTTACCACCAAGCTATTTTGAAACACAAACAAAAATTCAGAAGTCAACACGCTCTGCTGAGTGGTTTGCCCCGGTTACCTTGGAGCTGCGGCTGCTGGTAGGGGTGCAGTGGTGGTGGGGGACCTGGAGGAAGCATCGGGCCCGGGAGAAGTGAGGTTCACCACTCTAGCCACGCCCTTCTCTGCCCGGGAGCAGTTTATAGAAGAGGAGCTTTTTCCACCTCGAACAGAAGTGGCCGCTTTCAGGAGACTTTCTGCCGACAGCGACACTCGTTCTAACGACTTCTCATCCGCAGCAGCTGCTAACTCTTCACTGCAGGGCTCATTCTTGTCATCATCTATGACCACTATGTTTTTGGGCATGTCTTTGAACTGATACACAAGTCTCTGTCCTTCCACTTTTGCAAGAATTCCCCTTTGGTAGTAGTATCTGGAAAGGAAAACATTATTAAATGAATCCAGTGTATTATGCCTCCCTCTCCCCCACCAAAACAAAAGCCCACACAGAGCAAATACTAACAGAAGCATTGATTCACATTTGAGATTAGGAAAGAGCTCTTACTGCTCTGAGTCTGTTGAAAGGCAATGCATCTGGAATGCAGTGCCAAAGGCTTTCATGACTCAGGAATATATAAAAGTCACATAGCTCCTGTTAATTCTCTTCATTGCTTTGGCTTTTAACAGTCTCACAAGGTAGCCCAGGCCACCCTCCCATTTTTTATTTGTTTATTTATTTTGCCAGACCTGTGCCTTGAACTCAAGGCCTGGGCACTGTCCCTGAGTTTCTTTTGCTCAAAACTAGCATTCATCATTTGAGCCAAAGCAATATTTTCTGCTTTTTCTGTGTATGTGGAACTGAGGAACTGAACCCATGGGCTTCATGCATGCTAGGCAAGCACTCTCCCACCCAGCCACATTCCCAGCCCCTGACAGACTCCAATTTTAAATCCTCCTGCTCTACATCCCAAGTGCTGGGATTATAGGTATGCACCACTATACACAGCTTATTCCTGTTCTTACAGAAAACAATGTACAGACAGAATGTTTTACTGAAACCTGTGGAATACGTGAATACTGGCCACATGAAACCCAGTGTGCAAACCCCTTTACCATGGTCCACTACAACCAAAGTTACAGATTTTTCCAACTGACAAAACTTGGAAGACTTTTTCATATCAAGACAAATCCATTCATAACATTCACAGGAATCAAGAACAGAAATAATTTTAAGAACCATTTCATTTGAGTTTGATTTTTTAAGGCATACAATTTAATAATTTCTCAGGAAGAATCCTAAGAACCAAAATCACCTTTTGTAAAAAATTTGAAAGCACTGTTCAATAATGCGGAGCTGCAGTCACGCTCTCTCACCGTCTACCAGACAACCTGAAGAGCCATGTGCGCTGTATTTGAGAGCTCACCTCAAAGCCCGTCCCATGGTCTCGTAGTTCATGTCTGGCTTGTTCTTATGTTTCCCCCAGAGCTTAGACACAGCTTTCGAGTCCACAAGCTTAAAGATGCCTTTCTCTCTTTGAGTCCACTTAATATACCGGGGACAAGTATTTTTATCTTGAAGTAGATCTAAAAGAAACTCCCATAGATAGGTCGTGTTTCCTTTAAAAACAACATTAGACATGTATCATTTTAACATCTGTTTACAATTTTTGGGGGAGTTCCGGTCATGGAGCCTGAACTCTGGGCCTGGGCGCTGTCCCTCAGCTCTTCAGCTCAAGGCTAGCGCTCTACCACTTGAGCCACAGCACCACTTCCAGCTTTTTTCTTTTTGCTTATGCGATGCTGAGGAATTGAACCCAGGGCCTCATGCATGCAAGGCAAGGCTCTACCACTGAGCCACCTTCCCAGCCCCAATTTATTGACAATTTAAGAGCAAATCTTTTTATAACAAAAATGCTCATTATACTTATATGCTGGCTTTTACAGTTTCCAGTTAACACACTAAGAGAGGTCTTGGGTTTAGTAGAAGGTACTGCCACCTTTTAGATTGTGAGTTCTTTCAAGGCAAAGGCACAAGACTTAATTCAGTTAAATACAATCACATTTATTATCACAGATCTGAACTAAGTTAAATTACTTTGGACCTTTATTATACTTTAAGCCCAAATTCAACATGAAGCTTATTGTAAGGTACTGAGTTGTAATAATACAGTACAGCAATATCCAATGCAATGTGTGAAACATTCTGGCATATACTTTTCTTTAATTCCCTAGGGTCACACTCTGAGGTCTATGCCTTCGTTCTAACTACTCTCCATCCTTGAAGCAATCTTACCGTCTTCCTTTGGACTGCTAGTAAATATACATAAATATACCAATAAAATGTATGGCCTCTATAAACAGATTTTTCTCTAAATTCTTAATCTCTTTCTACTTTGTATGCAGTAAAGTAAGATAAGTAGGAGTGGGAAGGTGGCTCAATAGAGTGCTTGCCTCACATGCATGAGGCCCTGGGTTCCATTCCTCAGCACTATATAAGCAGAAAAAGCCAGAAGTGGCACTGTGGCTCAAGTGGTAGAGTGCTAGCCTTGAGCTGAAGAGCTGAGGGACAGCACCCAGGCCCAGAGTTCAAGCCCATGACCGGCAAAAAAGAGAGTATCACTGTCTATTTAAAAAACAAAAAACAAAATAAAAAAACCAGACATTTGTTGGGTGCTTGTAGCCCACACCTGCAATCCTAGCTACTTAGGAGGCTGAGATCTGAAGACTCCAAGGAAGCCTATCTCCAGTTAACCTGCAAAAAGCTAGAAGTGAAGCTGTGGCTCAGGTGACAGAGTGCCAGGGTAAATGTAACCATGAAATCCTGCCCACCCCCACCCATCTACAACTAATGTCCATCTGTATGTATATAAGCTTCGGCCAGAGTGGTGGCTTATGCATGTAATCCCAGCTACTTGGGAAATAGAGGCAAGAGGATCAAGAATTTGAGGCCAGTCCTGGCAAAGACAGAGAAAGTTTGTCTCAAAAACAAAATGCAAACTGGCTACTGGCTACTGGTGGCTTACTCTTATAATCCTGTCTACTTGAGAAATTGAGGATGGAAAGACCAAAGTTCAAGGTCAGCCCAGGTAGAAAATTTTAGAAGATTCCTTCTCAGTGACAAGTTGTACACGATGGCAAACACCTGTTGTTCTAGCTGTAGGGAAACCTAACTGGGATCAAGCCGGGCTCTTGTGTCCAGGCAAAATGTACTTGAGACCCTATCTCAAAAATAACCAACAACTAGCATCAAGTAGCTCAAGCCTATAATCCTAGCCACTCAGGAAGCTGAGATCTAAGAATCACAGTTGCAAACCAGCCCAGGCAGGAAAGTTTGGGAGACTCTTATTTCTAAAATAAACTATTTAAAAAGCCAAAAGTAGAGCTGTGGCTCAAGAGGTAGAGCAGTACCCTTGAGCAAAAGCAAGCCCAGGTACAGTGCCCAGGCCTTGAGTTCAAGCCCCAGGACTGGCATACATACAAAACAAACAGAAACCCAAGGGCTGTAGCATAGCAAGCACAAAGCCCTGAGTTCAAATCCCAGCACTGAAAAACAAACACTGAAGAGCTCAGGACATGGCTCAAGTAGCTGAGTGCTTGCTTTGAATGAAAAGGACCAGGGTTCAATCACCAGTACTACCTCCCTTCCCCTACCAAAAGAAAAGAAGAAATCTGGGCAAGTGAAGAATTTAATCTCTTAATGGGGACTAGTCATGAAAAGACCCTAGTCTTTTCTAGCTGGTTTTTTAATTCCCTCAGAATCTTATTCTAGAAGCAGAGTTTCTTAAATTGAGTCCTGAGAAGAAAAAGACAATTCATATTCTCCCAATGAGTCACCACGCCATTTCTGTACACTATACACCCTTAAATCCAGACACAAGGCATGGGCTTGCATGGGAAACTTCCAAACCAAGCCATCACTGCCTGGTCTCTTTCGGCTGGAACACTGATACTCTCTCTCCGGCATTCCCTTTCCATTCTAGATTTATTTTAAAATTCAATACATTCACTAATAACCCATTGTTGAGCCCAGTGTGCAGCTCCTGACCTAAAAAGATTGGCCTTCAACCTCCCAATATTACAACATCTGTCAGGATCTACTGCATCATCTTTTTGACCAAACAGTACAGCAAATATGTAGCTTGAAACTTGTTTTGTTTATAGTAAGGAGATAATGATGTCTTATGTGTAGGTACACTAAGTGAGCAGAGGGCTGGGGGTATAGCTCAAGTGGTAAAGCACTTGCCTAGCAAGCACAAGGCCCTAAGTTCAAACACCAATACTACAAACATACACACACACAAAAACATCTGTATAATTTTATCCTGGAAATTTTTGTATAACACAAGTTGTTAATTAGACTTATCAACATTCATTATCTTTGAATACTCTACACAATCTTCCATCTCTGACAATTCACTTCTAATTTAAAGGAAAAAAAGCCTGGCTGAGCCAGTGGCTCAGCCCTGTAACCCTAGCTACTCAAGAGGCTGAGATCTGAGGATCGCAGTTTAATGTCAGTGTGGGCAGAAAACTCTGTGAGACTCTTATCTCCAATTAATCACAGAAAAAGCCAAGAGTGGTGCTGTGGCTCAAGTGGCAAGAGTGCTAGCATTGAGCAGAGGAGCTTAGGGACAGCACCAAGGCCCAGAGTTCAAGGCCCAGAACTGGCAAAAAAAAAGAAAAGAAAAAGAAAAACTCGGAAAAGGAAGCTTTCTTTTTCAAGTAAGGATTATGCCTCATCATTATTTTGCAACAGAAATAACATGTCTAGATTTTGAATCTGGGCTTAACTAGCATTAACTTGAATCTTCACTTTACAACAATTTGGCTTTCTAGCATTTGCTAGTACTACACTAAAGTTTCCAACAAAAGTTAAAAGACAAAATCTAAGATATTGGAAATGAGAAATGTCCAAAAGAGAGACAAGTATATAAAAATATCTGGAGGCTGAGAAGGTGGCTCAGTAGTAGAGTGCTTGCCTTGCATACGTGAAGCCCTGGGTTCAATTCCTCAGCACCACATAAGCAGAAAAGGCTGCACTCGTCTTGAGCTGAAAAGCTGAGGGACAGCGCCCAGGCCCAGAGTTCAGGCCCACGACCAATAAGACAAAAAAAAAAAAAAAAAATCTGAAGTCTGTGTCAAATGCAATCATTTGTCCCTAGAAAAGTACTCGATGCAAAGTAGAGCTTTCTGGCCTAACTAAACACTCAATCTCTTTTATAAGTTTATTGGGCTTTAAGAAAGCCCAATACTGAGGATATACATAATTAAGCAAAAATGTAAGTTTTGACTCTGAAACTTTTAAACTAGATAGTTAAATTTGGCCTCAATTCCCATACGGATTCAAGCATGTTAAACAATTATGTATCAGAAAGCAAATCTCCTCCTTTAATTCAAGTGGCTCTATGGGCGGATGTCACTAAATACAGGGCACGGTAGCTGCAGACTCTGAACACATTCTGATAAAACTCCTCACATGTGCCTGCACTAGAAATAATTTTTTTTTTTTTTTGGTCGGTCATGGGCCTGAATTCTGGGCCTAGGCACTGTCCCTCAGCTCTTCAGCTCAAGGCTAGCGCTCTACCACTTGAGCCATAGCACCACTTCCAGCTTTTTTGGCTTACGTGATCCTGAGGAATCGAACCCAGGGCCTCATGCATGCAAGGCAAGCACTCTACCACTGAGCCACCTTCCTAGCCCTAGAAATAATTTCTTTACAAATATAAAAAGGCCTCCAATTATAAAATACAATTTCATATCCAAAATAACCTTTAATTACCTTTTCCTTCTCTGGGTTTCTTCTTGATTCCTAACTCAGGAGACCCATTGGGAATTGGTGATTGCTGGGTCTTTGGTTTACGGCCAACTGAAAAAGATATTGGAAAAACAAAACAAAGCAAAACAAAACATCAGCACTCTGATAACACATTACTCATTAAAGTAGACAGTAATCAGTAATATGTGAACTAAAATACTCAGTGTAGATATGAAAAGTTGCTCTTAAAAGGAGCCAACACATGTGCAATTTTAAAATAAGGCAATTCTAATCCCAACATACACAGCAAGTCAGTTACTACTAACCTTAGGTCCATGTTCAGAACTTCCATTTGCTAACGTTACATTAGTACAATAAAAACAACTCCTGTTAGCAAAGTTTTCTGTAGTACAGTAGAGCAAGATACAGCTTTTCCTTTTTATTGCAGATTGGATAACCTGTGAAGCCCTTTCAGTCCACAGGAAGTAAAAAATATTAAACAGTATCACTCTAAGCTAGTTAATTCAGAATTCAAGTGTTTAAATGTCCCCACTTTAATTTGTAAGGGAAAAAAAACCTTCCAAGTGATTAGATGTCTCATAAATGCTTGCCATTCTCTTCTGTTTGTCCTCATTTCTGTCACATCATCATCCACAGTAAAGGGAAAAGCAAAGGCTCTACTCTGTACGACGGAGGGCCTAAGTCTGAAAAGGTCAGATGGATGAACACTGGCAGGTGAGGAGAGCCTCACAAAAAGAGTTGGAGTGTTCGAGCCTATCACATGTTCAGGTTAACTCTATTATTACTGACTCGGGGATTATCTCATATGTCCTACATTAAAACCTCAATTTAGGTATGTTTTTGCTAGACTCTCACTTTGGAACCAAAGGGAACCTTAAACACAGTGAGTTGATTATGCTTAGCATTAAACTCCTGATCTTCCTACCTCAGCCTTTAGAGTGCTGGAATGGTGAGATTACAGGCATGAGCTACCACACTCACTGAAATGTCTTAGGTTTTTATTACAAGATATATAATCAAGGATTTCATTCTGCTACTTCTGACCAGTAAAATCTGCTTGGTAAAAATTAAAACATCAAGTTTACCGGTTTCCCTGTTAGAATTGACCTTAATTTCTCAGATTCAATAATATTTATATGTATGAAATAAGTCAGTAACAAAATTAACATCACCACTATCACCTAATAATTCATGAACAAAGGCCCAACAACCAAACATTTAAAAAAAGAAAAAGAGCTAAGCAAGCATGGTAGTGTATGCTTGTAGTACAGTCGCTGGGGAGGCTGAGGTGGAAGGATCATTTAAGATCAGCACACTCCCTATTAGAAAAAAAACAGAAGGCCAGGAGCTGGTGGCTCACGCCTGTAATCCTAGCTACTCAGGAGGCTGAGATCTGAGGATCACGGTCCAAAGCCAGCAGGAAAGCCCGGGCAGGAAAGTCCATGAGACTCTTATCTCCAATTAACTACCAGAAAACCAGAAGTGGCACTGACTGAGGCAAAAGGAGAGCACTCGCCATGAAGAGCACAGGGCAGTGCCCAAGGCAAGAGTTCAAGACCCATGACCTACCAAAAAAAAAAAAAGAGAGAGAGAATAAGGAAGATTAGCCTAAAACGTCTTAATTTTCTTAGAAAATAGCCTTTCTTTCTTGAAAAATTCAGAACATTATTCTTCAGTAGAAAAAAGGGTTTCTATAGTCAAATAGATTTTTAAAATACTGAATGCTAGCCAGGTATTGGTGGCTCACAACTAGAATCCGAACTACTAGGGAGGCTGAGATCTGAGGATTGCAGTTTGAAGCCACCCCAGGCAGCGAAGTCCACAAGACTCTTATCTGTAATTAAGTACCAAAAGTCTATAGTGGAGTTGTTGCTCAAATGGTAACTTTGAGCAACAAAGCTCAAAGACAGCTCAACCAAGCTCCAAGTTCAAGTTCGAGGACCAAGACCAAAACAAAAGTACTGTATGCTATCTAAATCTAGAGTCATAACACACATCAGTGTATTAAAGGTTATAGAAATAAAATCGCAGCTCTGCTATTAAAAATAACAATAATCTATTTCTGCTTCTTCAGGGATCCCTGACACTGGAAAGAGGTCCGTGGGCAGGGGTGAACAGCCCTGACTGTAGGTGGTGGGCTAGCGTAGCTCTTACAATGCTGCTTCTGTCCCCACCGTTGCCAACACCTGTAAAAGACATCCACATCCGAGTCCAGACCCAAATGTTAGTTCACCTGGGGTTAAAAGCGTGGCTCAAGTGGTAGGGTGCCTGCCAATAAGCATGAAGCATCAGATAATGAATTTGACTCCGTCTCCCACAAAAAAAAAAAATTAAAATTAAAAAAAGGCAGAAAGAACCAAATGTTACTCTGTCCACAATCAACAACTAACCAAAATCTTCAAAATTAAAGCTGGGACTGGACCGAAGTTCAAAAAAGTCAGCTGAGCAATAAATAAAAACACTTATCTCCAATTAATCAGCAACAGGCCAGAACTGGAGTTGTGGCCAGATGGTATGGCTCCAGCCTGGGGGAGGTAGGGAGAGGGGTGAGAAAAAGGTGAGGAAGACCCAAAAGCTCTGAATGCAAGCTCCAGTGGTTTACAATGTAGTGACTGGCCGTGTGAACTGTCCAGTTCTTTTACCCATTTATTAATTGTATTATTTATCCTTTCAGTGATTAATTTTTTAAGTTTTTACTTTGTTTTGTTTTTGGCCAGTCCTGGGGATTAAACTCAAGGCCTGGGCACTGTCCCAGAACTTCTTTTGCTCAAGGCTAGCACTCTACCACTTGAGCCACAGCGTCACTTTTGGCTTTTTCTGCTTATGTGCTACTGAGGAATCAAACCCAGGGCTTCATGCATGCTAGGCAAGCACTCTACCAATAAGCCACATTGCCAGCCCTTTTTAAGTTCTTTATGACAAAGATTTCAAGGGACGGTAGGTAAATAAGACTATTTATATGTACCTCTTTGTTTTCAAACCTTTACAACAGGAAACCATATATAATCCCTGTGTTATATGGAAGAAGGCACTCTGCGCTTTCACTTTTTCTTTTTAATGGTGCTAGAGACTGAACTGAGCCTTGCACAATGCTAGGCAAGCTCTGTACCACTGAGCTATGCTTTGCTGCCTTGATGATTTTCACGCTAAAAGGCAATGAAAAAGATAGTAAAGACTGGAATGAACGGACTGGAGGCTCATGCCTGTAATCCTGGCTTCTCAGGAGGCTGAAATCAGGTGTCACTCAGAAGCCAGATGTCACTACCGGCATTCTGAGAAGGGAAGAGTATTCGCTTTTTTTAAATGTCCCCTAAAGAGGGGAATCTAAGACTACGAAAGATAGAGAGTAAAATTTCTTTCAAGTAGTCAAGCTGGCTTCCGAGGTACAAGCCTGTAACATCAGCTCTCAGGTGCTGAGGCAGAGAAAGAGCAAGGCCAGAGGAGGTCTAGGCCATCCCATACCTACCGAGATGAAATCCACGCCTCATGAAACAAAATCAAGTCCAAACAGAACAGTTTAAGAGTTACCAACTACACAGGGGTAGCTCAGAAATTAGGAGGCAGAGTGTAACAAATGTGCAGGGACTCTCTACAGTCTGCTACATGACCAGTACCTGTACCTGTTCCAAAAGGGTCACTGTTAGGGAAGAAACTACAGGGCTTAAATACAATCTTCTTTAAACGGTATTAACATATTACAGCACTAAATAAAAACCACCGTAATTTGTTATTTCTTGGAGACTAGCTAATATCAATGTTACATCGACAGCACATTATTTCCTATGTCCCTTGATGGGGACCAAAAACAAAGACATCAGAAAAACATTTGTCTGCCTTCTCAGAAATTCATGAATATACTCCACCTTTTTTCTTTTTCATTGGTTCATGGCTGTCTGGAGATGTGGGGATAGGAGAGGTATCCATTGGCTCAGACTCTTCAGTTGACACCTCCACTACAGTTTCTGTAATGACATCTGGCCTCATAGCAGCATGGATAAACTCTGGAGTTGATACACAAGGAGGAACAAACACTTCCACTATAAAAAAAAGTTGAAAAATTAACATTTCCCACCCCATTAATGTCTCTAAGATGGTAGTTCAATATTTAGAAGATACAAAGCTTACTATGTACTAATTAAATTAGGCTAAGAACTTACTTAATACTACAAAAACCAACTTGTAATACTAAAAGAGCTGAATATGATCTAAAGTAAACAAGAAAACAGATAATAAAGGAAACCATCTTGGCTGAGCATTGGTGGCTAATGCCTATAATCCTAACTACTCAGGAGACTAAGATCCAAGGATCATGGTTCAAAGCTAGGTGGGCAGAAAAGTCCATGATATTTTTCTCCAATTAACCACCAAAAAGCCAAAAGTGGAGCTGTGGCTCAAATGGTAGAACACTACCCTTGAGGAAAAATAAGCTCAGGAGCAGCACCCAGGCCCAGATTCAAGCCCTAGGACAAGAAAATCATCTTGAAGGCCATGAGTGTTCCCCCTGCCCTTCATACTATTAAGTGGATTGTAGGGAAACTAAATTGACAGCTGGAAAAACATTTGAAAATAATTATAAAATAGCTTTTGAATGATTTTCAACATATGTATCATTATTATTTAAGTTGGTTACAGATGTATGATACAAAATGGAAAATTCACAAATATTCAACAAAAAGTATGCATCTTTAGCTTATTTTCAAATATGAAAAAAAAATTTCCTTCAAGATTTTCTTGCACTGAATCTTGTAAAACTGCTTTCAATTGGGGGGAAAATATCCAGTTCTGATTTTTTTTTATTGTGATTGTTAAGAAGTTTTACAAAGGGGTTACAATCTTAAGTCACTAAAGCAGTAAATACATTGCTAATATTCACATTGTATAATATTGTCCCTCAGGCTTCTTTCTAACATGTATGAATCATCAGGATATGACATTTCTACTTCAAATTAGATAGTTAATATACACTAACCTGGATATACTAACAATAATGCCATAATTTCTGAATGCATGGGATCCCTACTCCAATTAAGAAATTTGAATGTTCTTGGCATTTACTGCAAATTCATGTAAGAAAGGCCAACCAATAAAGCAAGACAACTAATATTTGAACATTAAAATAAAATTAAGGCAAACAATTAGTATAAATTAACTGTTGAAGTCAGTCTAAAAAGGGACAAAAGGGTAACCCACAGGCTAAAAGGAGCATGAAGAAAATGGTATATGCATGGTATATATCTAACATGGATGGTTCTAAGAAGTTACTGCCTATCCTACTTTTAAGAACTGCAAAAACTTACAAGTTAGCCAGCATTAAGGAAATAGGACAACACAAATAGCTATTTAATAAAAATTGTATGAGTATAGTGGGTCCTTCTGTATCGTTTATTATAAAAATTAAATACAATACTTAAAGTTGTGATGAGATCTTAACAAACAAAGATTAATATATAATATATTCAATAGTAACATTCTTAAACTAAGAAAAAAGGAACTCTAATCCCTGGATGAAGCAAGAGGATCCTAAATTCTAGGCCAGCCTGAGCTACAGAGGGAGTTTCGGGCTACCTTAGGCTGAACTGCCTAACCCTGTCTTAAACAAAATAAAGGAAGTCTTCATACTAATATGAAGCAATGTGATGTGTTTAATATAAAAATGGATGGTTCACATACCAGGACTTCTTGAATCTCTCAAGCAGGTAGGAGATTCCATATGAAGCAGCGCTTCAGCAGCTTCAATTGTCTTATCTGTACAGTGTGCATTACTGCTGTGGACTGATGCTTCCACTGGGGAGAAAATAATTTCTACTCAATTAAAAATGAATGAAGCACAATACGATAACCAAAACATCACTGAAATATAAATTAACTTCCATGTGAATCTGTAATATTTATTGAAATAATTTAAAATTTATTAAAATAACAAAAATCATTTGTAAACTAATTGTTGATTTAAAAACAACCAATGAGACACATGTAGTGGTATACTCCTGTAATCCTGGCACTGGAGGATTTAGTTTGAGACCAGCCTAGACTATCTACAGAAACCCTCAACAAAACAAAACATAGTAAAGTTAATTAGAAAGTAATGAGAAGTTTCTAGATCATATTCAAAGGAAAACTAAAGACCCTTGAAATTCAAACCTTGCAACAATTTTAGGCCAAAACTAACTGGGGCTAGCGGGGGGGGGGGGACAAGGAAGAGGATGGGTATAGATTAACAATCCTGGGAGCTTAATTATGGTAAAAATAGGGATGAGATATCTAGCAGAATTAGCCACCATTAACATATTAAATAGTTCAAACCTCCAGGTTCTTCTGGATGAGCAAACAAACTCTAGGCAGGGCATTAGCAGAATTCAGGAACTTTCTTCACAATAACCTTGGTCTTGTTAGAACCTCATTAGCTTTCACTCGGATTTTACCTATACTACTTTTACTGGAATATTTTTCATTCCATTAGGCCCTTGCTAATTCTACTGTCCTTGTATCTTTCTCTTTGCATTTCCTTTCTGCTTTGCTGTAAGTGCAACTGACAGAAAAGCATGCAAGCAGCGGTTTGTACTTTCAGGTCCCACAGCTTGGTTCCTGGTCTCTGCTACTTAGACAAGCCTTTCACCAAACAGGATACTAATAATACTCACCTCAAATTAGCTGTGGAAATAAAGTGATTCCCAAAAGAAACTTATTAGCATAAATGGTGAGTTCCTTAATCCAACCTTCTATGGCTACTGTTCCTAAGGAAGGTGAAGGTGTGTGTGTTTGCTTGGGGGGCGGGGGGGGGGGGGGGGGGGGGGGGGGGGGGGGGGGGGAATTGGAGAGGAGGGGGGGGGGGGGGGGGGGGGACTCTGCTGTGGACCCAGGGCCTCAATCTAAGCAAGTACTCTACCCCAACCATTCACACTGTTCATACTGGTAAGGCACACAGATATTTATTTCATGTATTTTGGATAACCCACTGGTCTTACAGGAAAAGTGGCAAGTCAAAAACATACTGATTAATTTTACATTGTGACTTAAATTACTGATTATTTCAGAAGTCCTAACTCATTAAATTCATAAAGTTCTAATTTAGTAGATTTTTCTCAAGATTGGCCCTTAAGGAATTAAATGTAAATGTTTATAAAATTTCATAAAATCATACTATAAATTTACAAAAGCTGCACTGAATCTTCCAAAATAGTTCTTTGAACTGGAGAAAAATAATGCCCACATAAGTCTTAAAATTCACCAAATGCTAAAGCCTCAGCCTTCACACTATTCATTTGGAAAGCATTTAAAACTCCAGGGACTGTTTTACCACCTGCTGCATATCATCCACAGTCTTAACCAAGGTACTAGTCTCTCCAGTTGCTCTTTCCATTTATGGAAATCTGCTCAAAGCTAACTGGTTCCCGACAGGCAGCCAAACCTCTAAGTCAATCTATCTTTAGGTGACCCTGCTTACTCTTATCTGCAGCTACACTGGAGCTTCAGAGATCAGCCCTTCTGGCTCTACATTCAAAACTTAGTATTGAGTAAAATGTATTACTACCATCCTCAAGTATCATTTTCAAAGTACCTCCCTACAATACTCACATGCAGGTGGAAATCATTCTCTGGTCTTGAAAGTTTAAAATACAAAGTAAGAACCATTCTCTCTAAAGTTTGCTTGGTGTTGCAATTCAGTTGCTGTCTTAGGTGCTATTAATAAACCATACGGGATAAAGTAATTCCTTACGTAACTGTAGTAAGATATACCCTAACAACTCTACTACAAAATAACTGAGTTTCATGTATTTAGTATCTGCGTAGAAATAGAACTTTACCAGACTTCTGAATATTTAAGTTAAAAACAGAATAAAAACTGCCCAGTTACATATTAAATGTCCTAAATTCTTAAGTAGCTTGAGGTATGTCTTCAAATGCACGATTTTATGTTAGTACCAATTTTTTTTCTTTCTTTTTTGGTCGGTTGTGGGGCCTAAACTCTGGGCCTGGGTGCTGTCCCTCTGCTCTTCAGCTCAAGGCTAGCGCTCTACCACTTGAGCCACGGCACCACTTCTGGCTTTTCCTGCTTACGTAGTACTGAGGAATCGAACCCAGGGCCTCATGCATGCAAGGCAAGCACTCTACCACTGAGCCACCTTCCCAGCCCCAAGTACCAATTATTTTTAAATGTATTTTTTCTGACCTCAACTTTCCCTCTCTGTTAAATTCAACATTATATCTTCTAAATATTTTATTTATACTTGTTCATGCCTTAAAATTAGGATGGGAAAATATCTAAAAATCCCTCATGAATTATCAACTAACGATCGAATATGAATGCAATCAATGGGTGGCTGCTGAGTATTGGGCCCTGTGCTTTAAATTTTGATACCAGCATGAGTGGGTTCTGGGCCTGCAGGGAGCAGCAGGGAGACACAGACTAGAGGAAGGAAGGTGAGCAAATGCAGTAACTATAGTCAATGTACAAATCTGCTGCAGAGAGCAGCAGAGAGGGAGGAAGGTGAGCAGTCACTATAGTTAATGTATATGTATTATGTTAAAAAAAAAAAAACATGTAATTTCAGGGGAGGGACGGGAAAGGAAAGATGGGGGACAACAAAGGAAGGGATGAAACTAAACAAGTCACAGGGTACTCATAACCTGACTTATGGAACTATAACCCCTCTGTACAGCTACTTAATCATAATAAATAATAATATTCTAAAAAGAATTCAGAGAGCATCAAAAAGTTAAGTGCAAGTAAGGCATAAAATAAGTGAACTTGCTATATGAGAACAGTGAGTTCTTCCCTTTTTGGGATGTGTACTACACCTCTGTGAACTGGTGCTTTTATTTACCAAATCTGGGCTAAGCATAAACAAAAATCTAAGTGTCAACCTCAGGTCACTTTTACAATAATGCAACAATGACAGTGTAAAATGGTGAAAAAATGAATAATGTATCTCCTTATACTTTTATTTTAACTTAAGCAGAATTGGAGAAAGGGGAATGATACTACAGAACTCAGCAGGGCCTTCTTTTTTGCCATTTGAGCTATGACCCAACCAACAAGTAACTTCCGATAATGGAAATTTTTCTTCCAAAGTGGCTCAAAGTGGTCGAGCACTAGCTTTGAGCAAAAGAGCCTAGGGACAGCGCCTAGGCCCTGAGTTCAGCCCCACAACCAACAACAACAAAAACAAATGCTTTAAAGCTGGGCACCAGGGGCTCATGCCTGTAATCCTAGCTACTCAGGAGGTTGAAATCTGAGGATGGAGATTTGAAGCCAGCCCGGGCAGGAAAGTCCTTGAGACCCTTGTCTCCAATTAATCTCCAGGAAAATGGAAGTGGCATTGTGGCTCAAAGTGGTAGAGCGCTGTATAGACTTGAGCACATAAAGCCCAGGGATAGTGTCTGGGCGCTAAGTTCAAGCCCCATGACCAACCTCCCCCCCCCAATATCTTCTATTCATTTTGATAATTTTCAAAAATTTCAAAATTATTCATTCTATTTAGATTAACAATTCAAACAAAAATTTAAAGCTGCACATTATAAAATGTAAACAATTTAACGGTGCTGTACAAAGTAGCTGAAAAGTAAAATCTGTTCCTCTTAAAATTTGATTAACAAGTGTACTCTATGTAGACTTGTGTAAAAACTTTTTTTGTGGGGCTGGGAAGGTAGCTCAGTGGTAGAGTGCTTGCCTAGCATACATGAAGCCCTGTGTTCAATTCCTCAGTACCATATAAACAAAAAACGCTGCAAGTGGCGCTGTGGCTCAAGTGGTAGAGTGCTAGCCTTGAGCTGAAGAGCTGAGGGACAGCGCCCAGGCCCAGAGTTCAGGCCCCACGACCGACAAAAAAAAAAAGACTCAGGACCAGCACGTGCACCCACATCCACACACAAGTCTGTGTCGGTGCTGGTGATTCTAGCTTCTGAGGAGGCTGAAATCTAAGGTCTGTGACTCAAAGCCAGTCCAGCAGATAAAGGCAAGAAACTCTTATCTCCAACTAACCAGCAAATAGCAGAAGAAGCAGTGTGACTAACGTGGTAGGACCCAGTTCAAAGCCCATTGCCAGAATTCACACACACACAAAGGAGAAAGACAAGCAATGCCTTAATACTGTATTATTTAATTAGTTATTCTGAAGATCCTCCCAAAGCCTGTGAAAGACTCTCAACTTCCAGAATCCCTAGAAGCTGGTGTTTGAGAAGGATAGCTGTAATTCATCAAATGTGATCACTGGTTGAGTGCCGGTAGCTCACACCTGTAATCCAAGCTACTCAGAAGGCTGAGATCTGAGGATGGCAGTTTGAAGCCAGCCCTGACAGAAAATTCCCCAACAAGGCTGAGATTTGAGGATGGCAGTTCAAAGCCAGCCCAGGCAGAAAACTCCCCATGAGACTCTTATCTCCAATTAATCACTCAAAAACTAGAAGTGGTGCTGTGGGGCTCAAAAGGTAGAGCGCTAGCCTTGAGCACAAAGAGGTTCAGAGACAGTGCCCAGGCCCCGTGCGTTCAAGACCCACGACAACAACAACGAAAAATAATAATTACTAAGTTATTTACTTATGTTTAAGTTTTAGCTCCTTAATATAAACATAAGTATGCAGACAAAAAACTATGATTATGTTCCTAAAGTACAGTTATTTGTCTACTGACATATAAGGGAATTTTTTTTAATAGTATTGGGCTTCAACTCGGGGCCTTGTATATCTTAGGACCATGTTAGAGCACTAGAATTTTTTTTAAGCTTTTGTAAATGTTTGTTTGGTGTCTTTTCAAACAGTATCTCTATACAATCCAGCCAAGACTT